TTAAACATTATAATTTATAGCTAAATGCATAAAAATTGTTGCTAATTCCCTCTGCTATATTTTATTTTTAAAGATCGAAATATTGTTAAAAATTTTTACCCGTTATTTTACTGATATTTTGTGTATAAATTAATATTAATTTGCGCATTTGAAGCAGTTTTTGCTCATTTTTGAGTAAAATATGTACAAAAATCAAAAATGAAAGCTAATTAGAGAAAAAAATGAACATAAATTAAAGTAAGAAAAAATAAACAAATTTTTGCAAGTAATTATTGTTAAAAAATTTTACCAAATAATTACTGGGTTAAATTAATAATCTAATTAATAATCTGCAATTTTTCATTTTTAACAAGTTTTAGTGTGCTTTCAGAAAGCCACTTGTTTTTACACGATCAAATTTGAAATGGAATACAACTAATGAATTGTTCATAACAGTTAGTAATTCTGCTAATAAATTAATTGATATTTACGTGGAAATTCGTGCTTTACATCCCAAATTATTAATTTTCCGTCAAACGTTTCAAGCTAAAGTTGCTGGTTAGTACAGTTTCATATCATTTTTTTCTTATTTTTATAATTATATTTTATCACTTAGTAGAATGAAAATTGTGTGCATTCGTATTTATGAAAAAGGGTGAGATTTATTCATCACAGAATATTAACGAAAAAGATTGTTTAAGAAACATTTAAAAATGCATAATATTATATTTACATCTTAATCTAATTTGTGTCATCCAACTTATAGGGTCAATGATGCGTGTAAAGTTTTTCGTGCCAGGCGGAATGAAACGATCAGATCTTTATCGAATAGTAATTCAAGCACAAAATGACAATGAATTATTTGAAAAAACAATACCTGGAGCTCCTGATATCAGGAATATTTTTTTGCAGATAGACAAAACAATATACAAGCCAACTGATACTGGTAACATCTTTTTAATGCAAAATAAAGCAAAATCTTCTCTAAATTGGATCAATTATGTTGTTTGTATTATGTAACTTGTGTATATATGCAAATTTCAATTCATTATTTGAGATAAAATTTCATTCCAAATTTAATTCTTAAATGAAGCAAACTTTAATTGCAGTTCACTTACGAGCACTGCCACTAACAACGAACGGAAAGTTATACAATGGACCAGTGGATTTTTCACTTATGGTACAACTCTAATTTAATTTAGCTTAATTTAATTTACTTTTTTTTTCTACTACAAAAAAAACCTATGTTACTTTTTAGTATAATTTGAAGAGAATAAAATTATCAAAATTGGCCTTAATTTGATGATAGTATAGAGTTAGAAGTTATGACAATTATTATTATTTAGACATTTATAGAACGCAGATGGCTTTGAATTGATTCACAAAAATAAGTCAGTAATTAACAATGGATTTATTAATGTAGAATTTCAAGTACCTCAACATTTGAATTTTGGCGAGTGGAAGATTATCGCGCGTGCTGATCGTTATAAGCCAACAATAAAATCAATCACATTTCAAGTTCAACAATATGGTAAAATTAGACTCAAATCAGCTTTTAAGTTGGATTCTTAAACAGCGTAAAGTATTTTTGCAGAAGTAAATCATTCAGAAAGCTAACATTCAAATTGCAAAACAAAAAACAAATATTTATTTTTGCATTCAAATGAAGTGAAAAGATTTTACGTTATTTTCAGGTGCTAAATCTTTTTAAAAACTTTTTTGATAAAATTTTTAGAAGTTCCACCATTTCGTTTGCATATTATGGCAAAGGAAACTGATGACATTACTGTATTTGAGTTAGACGTTTTAGCAAGGTACACTTACGAGATCGTTTGATTAGAATTAAAATTTTGATCTGGAAACGCTATCAGTTAGTTAAGCCAAAAATTTTTTTTAAAAATAGAAATTTTTTAGAAGGATATAATTTATAACAATCAATCAAAGCTGTAAGGTTTTCATATAAAAAGTAATTACGCTTACTGGAAATGTTTAGCGTTGTATCCAATGTGAAGATTTAAAGTTAATATTCAAATTTAGACATGCTAATGGTCGCGCAATATCGGGGCAAATAACAGTTTTATGCGACTGTAATGCAAACAAGATTCGTTCATCAATACCTTCAGATTCACGGAAATTTTCTCTTTGCATTTTGCATTCTGGCAAGGTTAGCTTTTCCTCGTATATAAATAACGTGAAATTTCATCTATTTCTATATGAAATTACTTTTTTTATGCATGCTATATTCAATTTTTCATTACTTTTTTTTCATATCTCTGAACAAAATAACTGTCTCGCATTTTCTGTTCTTGAAAACTTCCATATCTCACTATATTCGCTTGCTTCAATTAAAATATATCGTAATTAAAAAATTTATTAATTGTTCCATCAGTCTGAATATTATTTATTTAAAGCAAAGTTTATTTAAACTTAAAACTTTTTTTAAGGATAGCGTTATTTCAATTTGATACTTGCAACCTTTCATATATGATCACTGTTTGTTTTGTTTGTTTAACTGTATTTTAGGATAATGAAGCTTAATAATTCTGGAGTCTTAAATAATTGAATCAATTCAGTAATAAAGACATAAATGAACTGAAATTTTATAGTTCGTTTGAATTATTGAAGGATTGTCGTTTTCATAGATACAACAAATTCACTTTCATATTGTGATTTTTAGATTCTGGAATTTAAAAAGATAGCAAAAGTTAATTAAATAAGTTTGATTTTCTCTAAGAAATAAATATTTTTTCTACGAATTTTGCTAAATACTTTGCAATGAAAGCCATAACTAGTCATATCCTAAAGTTTAATAATTTCGGAATCAGAAATGATTGAATCAGTTCAGTAATAAAAGCAGAAATCAAGTGATATTTGTATAATTCATATATATATGATACAAATTTGAAATGCGCAATATTACTAAATACTAAATTAAAGAAAAATTGGACTACTTTTGTTTAAAGCCCATTTTTGTGGCTGTAAAATATTCCAATTTTACTTCTTAAATGTAAACCTATGTTTCAAAAAAAATGGATTTATACCTTACAAGTATATTTATTATTTTTGTGGAAAGATTATTGAAAAAATGTAAATGTTAAGGAAATAAATTAGCATTTATGCAAATATTTGTTGCATTAGTGAGCTTGGCTGGTAGTAATTTTTTGAGTGGATATGTTTTTTGAGACTTATTGATGATGTACCATGATCAGGTCTATAAGTTACCGTGATTTGTAAAACTTTGAATTTATCAGTTTGAAAAATTTGTCAAGAATTGAGTTATGTGATTAAACTGCAAAAATTGAATTGATTTATAGAATTTAACAAAATTTTGTATAAATTTACATGATGCGATTATATTAGTTTGTAATAATATTTAGGCGATAGCAATATTTTTGAACATTCAATAGACAAAAATATCAGCAGCAACAATATTTTGAAACTTTTAATATGCAAAAAAGTCCCTTTTAATTTATTATTAAATTTGCAGTGGAAAAAATGATAATATCTCTGATATATTTTGATATAAATAGAAATTAACTTGAAAATAGTCCGCAATATTAATTGATCATCAGCATCAAAGATGAAAATTGAGCTTAAATTAGAAAGAAGAAAGAATATGCAAGTAAGTATTTCTGAGTAAGAAGAAAATTGCTGAAGTTTCACGTAAAAATTATCACTGTTGACTTTATGTAATAGAATAATTTGATCAAAGTTATCTTGAAATCATTTTTATTCAAAAGCATTCAAATTTATTTGTCAATTATTTTTTTCTTTGAATTTTTGAATTTTGCAAATTTTTTTAAAATGATTTATGACGGTGAAAGAATGAATTTAATTTTGTTAAACGTAAATAGTGATATTTTTAATACATTTAGTGCTATTGGCATTATCTCTTTAAATTCAGAAATGTTCATGAAAACTGAGTTTTTTTGATGAAAATACTTACTATAATCGCTAAGAATAACTTTCTAAACGTTTACAAGTAAAATTATAAGTGCGGTGCAAAAAAAGTATATCTCAAATTATACTTTACACTTGAAGTTTTTATCACGAAAAACCGTACAAAAATGGATTGATAAGTGTGATTAAAATTTGCAAATCTTTGAAGATATTTGCATGTTCGCTCATTTCCGCATAAAATTCATTATCGATATATTTCATTATTGAATAAAAATTATACGGAAACCAAAATACTACATGCGTTATAACGACTAATAATGTTGTACGAAACACGCGACTACGAAGTTGTTGTCTCCAACTTTGTCCTAAAAATATTCAAAATTACGATTATTTCCTTTTTTAATTTTGTATTCTTCAAAAAAATATTTTTTTCGATTTAAAAAAAAATTCGTGTCGTGTACGTACGTTTATGAATGAAATGCAAATTTTATCTATTGTGGAGTAAAAATATTTGTAATTGGAAATGAAATTGATCCACTTTTTTTCTACGTCAATGATTTAAAATGTTAACTTTACCAAATGAACTCTCTGTTAAACAGTTTGTCACTATTAATTTTGCTACTATAGTTATCTGTAAACTACTTCAAATTTGATATTAATGATCATAATTTTGGATTTTGTATTTGAGTACATAAAAATAGTTTGCTAAATAGAATTGCTAAATTCAGTAAAATTTTTTGCGGGAAAAAAGTTTTTTGATTATTTAATTAATATTTCTCTGTTTTTCTTATCATACTTTCCGATTTATGTTTATGCGTTCAATATATTTGCTATTTGAATGAATTTTGACTGATTTTTCAGTATTGTTAGGGCTGCAAAGTTGTTGAAAGTTAAAACAAATGTTTGCATAACTTTTTTACTTTTCGCAAATTTAAATTGTACATTTTTTATGAGTAATAATTTAAAGTAAACTGCTCACTTTTCAGCTGTTTTCTTTCTGAGTTAGAGATACGATCGCTGAAAAAAGATAATCAAAAGTGATATTATATAATGAATAGTTTGTATCAAACTTTTCCAAGTGCTGAGACGTTAATTTCAAATATTAGCTGTTGCACAATTAATTAAAAGTAATAAATAAACTGACTTATTAAAAATTATTAAATTGTTTACTCTTTTAGAAAGAAAGAATATCTGTTATTTTTGTTTAGGCCAGTAATTTTCAGCGATTTTAATGAATGCAAGCCAATATGATCAGTAGTAGAGCGACGGTAAAGCGCCTAAAAATAAATTAATAATTTGTGATTATTTATATGTAAATATTATAATAGCGTAATTTGCTCTAAATCAAAAAAGAATGTGAATAATTGAGTTTTACACTTTAATAATTTTAATTTTTGACAATTAATTGAACTAAAAATTGACAATTTCGCCTTAATTACTTGATCTGAATTTGGCTTACTAAAAATTAATTGAGAATAAATGTTTTTAGCGCCAATTTATAACAAAAGTGAATGTTATGTTAATGATGCTCATAAAATACTGCATTAATTAAAATATAAAACCTTTCGCTGTTCAGAGAATAAGTGAGAACTTGTTGATTTTGTAAGGTTGAGACTTCTAGAACTATTTTTTCGACTATATTTTTCAGTATTAATCAATAATTCTGCTTGTATTACTTCACAAATACTTTTTTTATCTAAATGAAAATTTTTTAAATTTATGATAAAATAAGCAAAGCTTAATTTTTTATGCCATATGTTATCTAACTAATCAAATAAATGTACTAAATTTAAGAGAAAATTGTAGTGAATTGGAATTTGAAAAAAAGTAAAAATTGAATTTGACTTTTTTATAAAAGCTTTTTTGTTTGGACTGGCTGAGATGAAATATTTGATAAAATGAATATTTTATAATTAAATATTTATATATATTCTGAAGTATTGTATGAAATGTTTTGATAAGTTATCTTGTGCATTAATCATATTTGCTTATGCCAATTCATGCAAAAATAAAGCTAAATATGTAATTTATTTTCTGACTATTTTAAAGCACATTGATGCGAAAGTTTATTTTTTCATAAACTTAATTAAAATATTATCGGCAAACTTGCCACTTGGAGGGAAATTGTTACCATTTGTACATATCACAGAATTTGAAGCAGAAGGAGGATTATTCATAACGGTTAGAGATTTTGAATTTGCATCAATAAATCCATGCTCGTATTCCTGTTTTCTCGCAACATCATAATCTTCCATATGTGATGCAGTGTAATGACCCTGTAATACTTTATTGGATATTAATTAATTATGGAAATTGCAAGACTGAAAAAATGATATGCACTAAATAGTAGAAAGTAATAAAGATGTTTTAGAATTTGCTCATATGATGAATAAACTTACACTTTTTGCTAAAATTATTATTTAGTAAAGTCTAATTTGATTTATAACAGATATTAAATTTAAACATAATGGTGTAATTTTTGAAAATTTTGATTGACAAATAAAAATAAATCATTTATTTCAAGAAAATACAAAAAAACAAAATATTTTTTGTAAAAATAATACTTGTGTAATGAGCAATTTTTGAAGTTTTTAAAGAGGAATGAAATAAAATTTTAAAAATGTAAAAAAGTTTTCGTCAATGCTAAATTAGTACTTCATTGATAGTTATTAATTTTAAAGATTACTGCTAATAAATGACTGATATGACTGATAATTGATAATGACTGAATGACTGATTTGCATACGAATTGTGCTATATGCTTACTGATATGCTAGGATTTTCTTTGGAGTACTGGATGAGACGAATAGCGATAAATGCATAACTAATTACTAGCAGTAGCAGTGGTCCCCAAAATACCAAAATCTAGAAAAATTAATAGCAAAAATATTACACTTTTCAAGCTATACAAATTATTGTATTAGTAAACTATTTAATTATACATCAGAGTATTATTACATTAGTTATTTCTATTTTTTTTTTCGTTGCAAATTTCTGAAAATTAGCATGAAACTGCTTTATGAATTGTTATAAATTACCCCTCTTGTACACTGCGAAAGGATATAATAAATTGAGTTCAGTAAAGTTTGGTATATCAGATTAACATTTTGCTGAGCTCGCCCTGATCTATTCAGAAGATTATTTCAAACAAGTACTCTAATTTTTTTTACATTGAAATTGTATTATTAACAAAAATTACCACAAATTGCAGAATTCGGTTTGTGTCTAAAACTTTGATTTTTTGAAAATTAAAATTTGAAATTCTTGCCAGATGACTTATATCGTATAAGTTTTTAGCCAATTCTTTGCTATTGTCGAAAACTTTTCCATTTCGCATAGCTTCAAACTTTTCGATAGACCAAATATCTGAACACTGTACCCAACCACCAGGATAGTCTGGATATACATTTAATGTTTTCCATACCCAAAGTTGTGGTATGCTCCAAATTATCGCCAATAACCAAGAAATTGTAATCATTGTGTAAACTGTATGCTTCAAAAATGCTTCATTTGTCTAACTTTTAAAAACCAAAAATGTACATTTTAAATTTCAAACATTCAGTATTAATAGATATAAGTAAGTTTTCAGCTTTATTTATGATCTAAGTGTGAAATGCTCATATTTTGAGTTTGAATAATTTAAGAACTGGACAGAAGCTTTCAGTTATTTAAGAAAATTGCAAAAGTTTAAAAAATTATCTAAATTCACTGACAAGATTTTCATTTTGCACGCGAATTGGGCGCTAATACAAAAATTTATGTAAATTAGATTAACTTTTTACTACTTCTTATTATTTAATAGACTAAATATTGTATCCGATAGATAATTTGTGACACAATACCATCACATGTATGTTCTAATAACATTTTTTCTTCTAAAATTTTATGCTTTCAATTAAATTTCACCATTTGGCGCCATCAAATGTGGAAAAAGATCGTATTTGGAAAAGATATTATTATTATCATTATTATTATTATTAATATTTATTATCGTTATTGATTACTACTGTTATTTTTATTGTTACTATTATTAGTATTATTGCTATACACGTTGTACTTATCATTTTTTTATTTTGGATTTGCCAAAATAACTCCTCACAAATTTTTTCAAAAGAGTAAAATGAATAACTAATTTATTTTAGAAAAATTTGGCTTCTGCAAATTGGCTCCTCATTAAAAGTGTTAATTGAATATTTTTTGTTAGCTGTCAACATAGTCCATCATCTAATAATTTGCTATGAATATTTGTCTGTAAATTCAATTTAATGACTACAATAAAAATTTAGCAGATTTAAAAAAATTAGTTTTGAATTTTAATGACATAAACTTTTAACTTTGAAAAAA